TGAGGGACAGGCACTCATAAAACACAAGTGCAAGGAATATGAATGAGAACCATATACAGAAAGCGAAGCTGTGAAATCACACAGATGTCCAAGTAGTCATGTACAAGCAGAGAGCACAAATGCATCAAGATTCCATCCAAATAGGAGCAATACAATGAACTCATGAGCCAATGTTCAAGCCCTCAGGCCACACCAACACAGTATCCAATGTCGCTCCTCTCTGTCTGGCGCCCAGCCTATACTACTTGCCTATCCTACTACATCCACATTCACGCAACAGGCTGACGTCGACTTTGAAGACCAATGCACATGACGTCAACACCATAGTCGACCTCCCTAATGCACCAGGTACGTATCTCGCCTCCCCTCATCAGACCCTGACCACCCACACTCGCCTCCTTCCGGAAGACCACCGATCGCCTTCTTACCCCCTAGCACCCTGTAGCCCGGCTATGGCTGCTCGAGCTCCGCTGCCCAGCAGCGCCCCTCTCACCTCTCAAGCGCCTGCATGCGCCCTGGCCACTAGCACAGCATGCAGTGTCTCGCGCAGTAACTCAGCAGTGTGACCGCATTGCCTGCGTGGGCCCCAATGCCTGGCCCTGGGAGCCTCTGTTTGGCTGCGAGTGGCCTGGCTGTTACATGCTGCGCCTGCACACGAGAGCCATTTTCCAGGCCCTGCGTCCCTCAGGGTGAAAGCCTGAAAACCAGGGCCTACAGGCCCCGTGTCTGTTCAGCTCGAAAGCCTGAAAAACAGGGGCCTACAGACCCTGTGTCGTTTCAGACTAAAACTGACAGTAGCCTTTTTAGCCTGAAACGAAGGGCCATTTTCGGTCTTTCATCAGACCGACCTGCCCTGAAACTCAGGCACCAAACCAGGGTTTTAGGAACAGGCTATTTTTGGCCTGTTCCCACGACAGCTGCTGCAGCGCCAGACCCTGGCTCAGTTTGGTATTGGCAAGAGCAGCCTCCTAGACTGCCCGCCCTGCAACTGCAGGCAGTCGGAGGCAGTCAGGAGGCTGGCTGAGGTAGTACATAGGGACTTCCCATGCACTTTACGGGTAGGCGGGAGGCAGTCAGTAGGGATTCGGCAGCAGCACTCTGGAGGAGCACTGCAGGAGTAGTAGCAGCGTTAGCAGTAGTCTTCAGCGCTGGGCGCTAGCAGAGTTAGCTGTAGTCTTCAGCACTGGGTGCCATAGAAGCTAGAGTAGTACTAGATAGAGAGGGATTGGGCGGAGGCCAGAGGACTTACCTGCAGCTCCAGCTTCGTCTTCGAGGTACCTGCAGCACAGCGCCATCTTCACAGGTTAGTACCTGGCACATGAGAGAGAGTTCTTCTTCTTCCTCTTCTCAGTCCACCATCTCCTTCACACCCTCTCACTATTTGACTTCACTGCATCAGCAGACTAAGAGAGAGAGAGAGAGAGAGAGAGAGAGAGAGAGAGAGAGAGAGAGAGAGAGAGAGAGAGAGAGAGA